CACATTGAAATGCACACTTGAATTTCCTTTCCCATTTGAGGGAAACTAGTGATATGAGATAAATTTGAATGTGATATTATGCAGTTGCCATAGATTAGAACTATAGCTTTTATTTTATCATTAAAAATCATAAGTATGGACATGTGTTAGACATTAAATCACCTCTTGTTCTAGGATTGATCTTTCTCTTTCCCAGAAATCATCTGTGGAACTTGACATGAGAGGATGGATATGGAAGATTCTTTCATTGTATATATGTTTGTAATCAATTTTCACACAATTTTATCTCTGTTGTGTGTGTATAGCGATGCTTATTTTCTTTGATGTGTTACAAATTGCAAAATGAACCTAATTGTGTTGAATGTGAATTCTTGTGATTTTTATCTAGGATATTGAATTATCAAAGTAGATAAATGAATCATTCAAGCAGTCATCCCAGGCCAGATCAAAGCTTCCATCAGGAATTGAGATGAGCGTCCATGTCTTAACAACTGAGAAAATCACATTTCACCGTTATTTAAATTAAACCATAAATGCATGATTAATTACTTTATTTTCATGGTTATTTAGTTCCTTTTTAAATAAAAAAAAAAAATCTATTCTGGTTGCTGAGCGGTGCAGGTACTGGCCAACATATCCACCCATGGATGTTAGGCTTCCACTTGAACTGAATGTCTATCAGGTTCGCTACAGGCTTTGGGATGAGCAGTCCACTGTTATTGATGCCGGAGAGTTTTTAAATCTAAGGGTTGACACTTTTGTATTATTGGTGTAACAGGATATCTTTAAGGAGTTCTACTTGAGTAAGTACAGTGGGAGGCGCCTAATGTGGCAAAATTCATTAGGTCATTGTGTGTTGAAAGCTGACTTTCCCAAAGGGAAAAAGGAGCTGGCGGTTTCCTTATTCCAGGTTTGTCTCTTGGTGTCTCGGTGACCATTATTCTGTTATTTTTTTGAATTTTCTCTAGCAGCAGACAGTTCTAATATTTTTCTGGGTTTGTAACCATTTACCCTCTAGACCGTAGTTCTGATGTTATTCAACGATGCCCAAAAGCTTATCTTTCAAGACGTTAAGGATTCCACTGGCATAGAGGACAACGAATTGAGGAGGACCTTGCAGTCCCTTGCATGCGGGAAAGTTAGAGTCCTACTAAAGGTATGTCCATTTACCATTTCTTAATTTCTTATATGTGCTGGTAAAGTTGATACATTATTTGTTTTAATTCGTTCCATTTTCTTCATTCCTTTTCTGAATCTGTATGCTGCAGTTGCCAAAAGGGAGGGATGTGGAAGATGATTCATTCATTTTCAATGAAGGATTTACTGCTCCTCTTTATCGTATAAAGGTAAATATATTTTGCAATTTCAAGTTACAGCTGGTAAATATATTTTGAAAGATCAAACTAAATGTTGTGTATATCGACACTATCCCACTGAATTCCTATAGAGAGGATTCACAATCTGCTTCACTTGCATGATTAGGCATCAAGTTGAGTTTTCAGTTTGGAATGCAGGTAAATGCAATCCAGATGAAAGAGACGGTGGAGGAGAACACTAGCACTACTGAAAGAGTATTCCAAGACCGTCAATATCAGGTTCATCTTTGCTTCACACTCGCATTCTCTTCTTATCCATCCACCAAAAAATAAAATAAAATAACAGAATAGAAAGCAATCTCATAGGAGCTTTGCCATTGTTGCTTGATTTATTGCAGGTTGATGCTGCCATTGTTCGGATAAAGAAGACAAGGAAAGTGTTGAGTCACACTCTTTTGATAACTGAACTCTTCCAACAGGTAAGCATATTCTTTTCTTTTTGCATTGTGCATAACAAACATATCTCCAAGGAGTTCCGATTGACATCTAATCACAATCGTAGCCAAAAATAAATAAATAAAGTTAATGTTGGTGTTGCTATTTAAGAGGTATCATTCCATTAACCACTCTACTTAATGTACCCTCACTGCAATTTATGATCTTAGACATGAAAGGGATAATGTGCTTTTAAGTTGCATTTTAACATACTCATTGAACTAAGTTTCTTCAATCGAACAGCTTAAGTTCCCCACAAAACCAGCTGATTTGAAGAAAAGAATTGAATCCCTGATCGACCGGGAGTACCTGGAGTGGGACAAGAACAACCCACAAATATACAATTACTTGGCATAGTTTTCCCTTTCACCTTATTTTAGCATTTTCTTTCTTTTGATGGCAGATATCTCATGTAAATGACAGGGGTAAACATGGAGCTGAGATCCCTTGTCAGATCCATGTATAGTAGCTTGTAGTATTTACTTTGTTGCAATCGGGACTCAAATTGTAAAAGCATATTTGGCCTCTGCTTTGTTACCATTTTTTAAAAGGAATCGACAATGGGAGACCACACTCACTTGAAATAAGCTGCTGCCTTTGGAGGTTTTTGTGTTTCTCTTGTTTCAGGGATGGGACACATTTTATTTTGGCATAACACCAAAAGTTAATCCTAACGATTACTAAATTAATCATTTTGTCCTTTATTTTTTTAAAGCATTTTAGTCTTGACGTTTCATTTTAAGACAAAAGGCTCCTAACATTTGATTGAATAATTATTTTAGTTTTTATTCGTTTTTTTCCTGGAGTATTTTGATCATCAACTTTTCATTTAAAGGTAAAGAGAGATTTTATTTTGGAACATTAATTATCAGTTAATGATTTATATTCATTGAGGGGTTTTTTTATCTTGAAATGAAACATTAAAGACTCAAATACATAAAAAAATAGAGATTAAAATGATTTAGTCAAAGTTAGGGATATTTTTTGACATTATGTCTTTTATGTAACTAGTAAAAGCAGTGGCCTAACATTAGCCTCAGACCTGTCAGTTCCGTTGATTTTTTTGTATTTTTAACTGTACATTTTAATCAGGTTTGATTCGAATTAGTTTGGTTTTCGATTTTTTGTAATAATTTTAATTTTGATTTTTGTGACTTCATTTTAACATAATAGATTTGTTTTTTTACAGTTATTTTATGAATTTTTAAAATTTTCACGTAAACATTTCTAAAAAGTAATATTTCAAATCAATAATTAATATTTTCTATAATATTTGCATATTACTTTTAATATTTGAAATATAGAATACTTAATTTTTATATAAAAAAAAAGTAATTATAAAATATAGAATTGAATATGGTTCATATGTTATGAAGTGTTTAAATATATATATATATATATATATATATATATATATATATATATTTGTTTCGATAGCTCTCATATGGTCAATACCAATGGAAACATGAATTTAATATCATTAAAGAATATAAAACCGGTAATTGAAAGTGCAAAATGGCAAAACAGTGCCAAGATTACATTAAGTTGTAAATCAGTAGGAAAAGGCAGTATTGTTTTCAGAACACTACTAAAAGTTACAGAGCAAAAAGCAGACTTACAGCACATGGACAAGGCACTATAATTAGTCAACCAGAAAGCCCCTTGATTCTTTTCAGAGCTATTGAATTCTTTATTCTACTTCTCTAAAACCAAGAAATTTTCCCAAGAAAATTATGAAACTGAGAAAGATGAAGATTTGCTATTGAATTCTTGATACTACTACTCTAAAACCGAAGGCCCAAATAAACACCTAAATAACATAGGGAGATAAGAGTCATCGGCAGAGATGGATTGATGGGTTGGTGCCACTGATCTTTGAAAATTTTAAATTTCTATATAATTTACATATTTTTATTAATAATTTATTTTCAATCTCTCTTCAACAAGACCAGAGCCGTCATGACAAGAACTCGAACGATGGCCGATATAAGAAACAGAAAGCCACGGTATCAACCGAGGGGCCATCATCAACCAACGCCTCAACACGCCATAACTGAGCATAGACCCACCACACAAAATGACTCTCGAGATAGATCTAAAAGTCACTGCAAGAAAGATAAATGGATCAAATATCCTCTCCTAACGACCGCAAAAACGAAAGAGAGGTCGAAAGGGGCTGTGGACACCATGAATGTTGAAAGAAGATGCTTTGGTAATGATAGAGAAAACATATTTATACTATCGGATCATTTTAGTCCTAATTTCTTGTGAATTGATCCAAATTCGGGTTTTACTGTGTGATTTGAGGATGACTAGTGGAGTGATTATAATTCTTTTATTTGAATTTTAAGGACTTATATATACAGCCAGCATAAAACTCTTAATTTTAAACTCATTTTTTCTCGTGTATATCTTCTAGTTTCCTAAATTATCTTTTGATTTTTAGTAAAAAAAGTTTCTCTTAATTTAAGTATAGTCCAACATATACAAATATTATTATAAAATTTTAATTTAATTTATCGTCATCAAAGTTCAATCCTAAGGATTTGATTAAAAGTTCAAACGCTTGCTCTTGCCATTGGGGTTTATTTCGAATTATACATTAACATATGATGTCTCTCTTTTGTTAAGATATGTATTCCTACATAAGCAAACACATTTGACCGATTGACTAAATTGTTCTTTATTTTCTCATATTCCCTCATTATAGATTCTAGAATCACTATAAAAACACTCTTGTTCCTTCCTACACCCAATTAAAAGAATCGATTCGACTGTGGAATGGCACTCTTATTAAACTTGTCCATCAATTCTTCAAATGGCATCACTCTGATAAAATTCCTATGGTGCACAGTTGAACCACCAACCACGCCATCTGGTCGAATTTCAACCGAATGACAGCTTGATTGTTCATGAAAAATATATATTCCGACATGAGTACGAAAAAATAAACCTCCAAAGACCTTCAGAAAACATGTAAAACGACAAAGTATATCCATATTCGACACTCACTTCCAAATCAGCTATTTCTCAACCCTACTTTTCAAACTGTCAGTTTCCTAGTGAAGCAAAACTGAAAACTTAGTGAAGCGATGAAAAGATTAATCAAAACTGCACATATCAACAATCAATTTGATGATAATGGACTTTATAAAATCAACCCGACAGTTATGAACCTGGATGGTTCATCGGTACATAGTTGAACTACAACTCTTTCTTCATTTCGATTCAGGTGTGAGGAAGGCAAGAGAAACCATTCCTTTATTCTTCTACAGTTGTACTATTATTTATTTATTTATTTCAGAGAGAAAAACAAGCTTACAGATGCAGAGACAAATCTACATCTTCTGGACATTCCTCGGCTTCAAATAAGGCTTTCGGTGCAGGAATTGAATCATCAACATCCACAAAAAGAGGTAGCATTTTTTTCACAAGATTCTCAGATTCCATATGAGCACCAGGTGAAATCTTAGGTTTTTTCGACGCATTTGTTACATCAGGCTTCCCAGATTCATCAGCGAAGTAGGGCCTCTTACCTTGTTTGCACGTAACCAAACTTCTACTGTCATTCTGACCGGCTTTGTCCGGGGTTGAGCTTGGAGGAGGACCTGAGAAAAGGCACAAACAGAAATAGATCATTGAAGATAGGCAAGTGATATTACCCGAAAGCAAGGTCATGGTTAGTTACAGCAAAGGTAGGATTTGAAAGCTTACCAAGACCTTGTATGTTCCGCAAGGCATCTCCACGTGTAGGTGGTAAACCATCGCGGCTAATCTGAAATTCATCGGTATTAAACTGACAAACTTCATTTGGGCCCAAATGTAATGAAGTATCTATTTGAGAGCCAGTGGTTACAACAATGCTAGACAGAGCAAACGCAGCAGAAGACATGGCTGCATGGGGACCAGTTGGAGCAAATCCCCCTGAAGCCAAACTACCATGGCGACAAGCACAACCAGAACCATATGAATAGTTTGGAAACATAGAAATCTGAGTTTGGGCAACTCCGGGGTTGCCACCGGTGAACCCAGTCATGCTTGCATGGTTTGTTTCATTTGAGCCGAACACCCTAGAGGGCTCAAATGAAGGAGATGTTCTAGTGAACGGGGTTAGGTTGTTCACACGAGGCGAGGAGTTTTGCTGGCTGTTTGGTAGGGATGCAGGGGCACTCCTGCTAGTGTCTGTGGACTTACTTGAAGAACCAATATAATTCAAGGTCCCTAATGTCTTACCCTCCTGATTAATCTTGCGGTGGCCACCTAGAGCCCTATATTTGTTGATTACTTTGTTGTAGCAGGCGCATGGTCTGGTACCCGCCTGCTTCTCTTCATCTTCTCTAGCCACAGGGGAATTCATGGTAAAAGCTAAGAAAGACACAAGATTGAACTCTTTTCAAGAAAAGACAAAAACTGGAAAGCTTAAGGAGACAATGATGTAGATGAAGGCCCTGCTCTCACCCCATTTTATAGCCTTTTTCAGGGCAAAGAAAAAGGTCATAGGGATTAATACCAATTAATGAATGGTCAGACAGTATATAAACCACATCATTAATGAGCACTAAAACTTTAAGATTCTTAAGATGTAAAAATCTATAAATTTCAATTTCTAAGGCAATATAATTAGGGTGTGCTTTTTAGTTAAGCTTTACTAATTAATAAATTAGTTCTGTCCAACATAGGGACAAATGCAGCAACCTGTAGTTCGGTGACAGTGTATAGAGTTTATAAACTTTCCATACATCAAATACAAATCCTTCTGTAAATGACATTCTAATAAAAACCAATAAGCCACAAAAAGCATAAAATGGAAAAAGTTACCATAAAAAATCCATGCTGATACAACTTTAAAGAGGCCTCGTCCGCAATAATAATCCACATTTATAGCAGTCATAAATAACCACGGAGAGTATCTAATCATGCGAAACAAATGTAAAAACCACATAGGAAGGACGCCAACTTCCACAAGGCCATGAAACAACCTGGCAACTGATTTCGAGTGTCCGTTACGGGGTAGTTTTGGAACATGGAGTAAAACATAAAAGGAAAGAGGTTGCATCCAAGGACTTTTCCAATGTCATATCTACGTGGCCAGGACTTGGTACCAACCACTAATACGTGCTCATGTTCAACAAACACACACAGACACACATATATATATATTCAACTTTATTATATACTTAGGAATTCCTACCAAAAAACCGATGTCATTCAAGGTATCCAATTTTTAGCATTACTCAACAAAAAGAAAGCAAAGAACGGAGTAACAAGGGTCATTCTTGCAACATGTTTATAAACTAATTGTACCCAACAGCTTCAAGAATATGAAAAAGAAAAAAAAATCATACTAGTGATTTGATGCTCAATACAAGTGTCAAAGGTGCATGTATTGTGCAGAGAATGGCGAAGAAATGTTACAAACATCTCTCTCACTGTATTAAAAATCATAAAATCAAGTAATAAATGTCTAAAACTTTACCTATTATTGTTGGAAACTATTGTAACAAGTTTCGTAAACTAAGAACCATTCAAGCGAACAAAGCAAAGAACGCACTAGCACATGAGACTTATGAATTTCTTCTTTCAATTTTACACTCTTGGAAAATAAATCGATTTTCCTGAAGAAGTGTCAAATACCCCCTACTAAATGCACCCAAAAGAAGCCAATGAGAACAACAACAATCACTCCTTGTAGCCAAGATTGCCAAAATGAGATTGTAATATAAGACTTTCCTACACAATGATTCTGAAGGTCCTCATTCTGCAACAAATGCAGAGTCGTACTATTCTTCTTAACAGACAGGATTTCAGGAAAATCCCCTAGTAGCACCAGAGAACATCCCAAATTACAAATTCTTAACAAGATTTCAATTAATTCCAGTTGAAATAAACACTGAATATGCTTAACGCATACTAAAAACACATCCAGCATCTTATGTCATAGGTGATTTTTAAAGTTGATCTTATTTTCTTGCATAAAGATTGACATTGACTATCAGCTAACATTGAATTAATACAGGGTATAGTAGCAGCAAAACGATGCCAGGAAGAAAAATGATTTTTCTCAGTTTCTGTAGTAAACACTTGGAGACTATCTATAAAGTCGGTGAAAAATGTATTGAAAGAGTGTGGAGGATGTTTTACCCAAAAGAGAATATGTATTTATGTCGGGAATTAATTAAACTAGAGATATTATAATTGACAAGTGAAGTATACATAGTAAACTATGCTTTGTTTGCATTTCAGAGACATCTTGTACAAGTCACCATAACACAAGGCAACAACTGGTTAAAAGGATGTTGCTTCTTCAAGAGGCTAGTTGCACAAGCCAGAAGGAGAGCAATCCTAATTGTAAAGCACCAAAGGTTTATTCATTCACATTTCCCCCACCCTAACCACTTCACTGTTAATCATTCCCCATTTCTTCAATTTATATATGACTCCATGGTCTATATCCATAAACGATTACCGAAATCATATTCTTCTCACAGTGGTGTTTTTCTCCTGTCCCTATCCCTGGAACATCCAATAATTATCCAGCATTGAAAGCCATGTACCAGCAGCTGTTGTAAAATAATAGGATGACAGTGAAGCAAACACATAACATGAGGATGGGGTTGGAAGTGATCTACGGTGAAACTAGATAAGAAATGAAGCAAAATGGGCAAAGCAGGATTTGAAAATATCCATTCAAGAGCGGGAAGTTGAATTACTTTCAAAGAATTTGATTAGTTTAACAAATTAGAGTTAGATACACAATGTAGCTTGCTTACCAGAAGAAGGACGGCCTAGGCATCAGAAGTCCGACTAAAGGAGGAACCGAATATTGATCATAGTCAATACCTGCAATCATCGAAATTTCACATTGCAAGACTAATGCAAGATAAAGAATTTCGGACAAGAAAATACCCTATCCAATGCAAAACCATCAAATAACTTGAACCTTACTGGCATTCTTGAATGAGAGAATCCACAGCATATCACAGGGCATAGGACCTTTTTTATAACCACCATTATTCGAATCATTGAACGACTAATGCGGATCAAATATTGAAGGGTTTTAGACAACCCTCTCAACCCAGTTTTCTACATTCACAATGGCATTCAAACCTATGACCTTGCTCAAACACCTAAAGCCTCATCCCACTATACCAATTCAGGGCATAGGGTGTACTTTAAATTTGTCAAAGAGTATATACATTGATTTTTAGGATTGAAAAACCTAATATTATGTGTCACTATGATGAAGAATGAAAACTAATGATCCCAATTCCGTTCACTTTATGGAAAATATCTTTTTCAAAAAACCCAAAAATTAGCGTTCTTGCAACTAGTCTTTATAAATTACCATTACAGATGCAACAACATATAATTTGCACTAATACAAAGTAAGATAATAATAATAATAATACATATAAAGAAAAAAACAGTAACTACACCTTATTTCATCAAAATGATATATGAAACAATGAAGAAAGCTTCTTGGCGGGTGAAAAATCATGAAAGAAAGACATGGGTATTCCTGAGTTTCTTTAAGGAAATCAGACATGCCCAGATAACATAGATAAAACCACTGAACAAGAGAATTACTTTTTCTTTCATAACATTTTCTTTTGAGGGACACTAATTTGTCACATGGAACAAATGGGGTCCTTTCAAGTTTGATAATCACATTTAAACAGGCCAATTATTTCGGCTTGAAACTAAATTTCATGCCATGTTTGAGCTTTCAACTTTTGGAGTTCGAACCCAGGTTTACAACACTTGAATCTCCTATCTCACACCAAGCTACCATCAGATCTGACCACCACAGGGCACGGCGCTTTCCTCACTGAACATATTCAATATTAAATAAAAAAATTAAAAGCAATTAAATGAAATGAAAATCGAAAAGAATAGAGTAAAGAGCAACGAACCGCAGAAGGATTTAAACGGAGAAATAAGAAACTTCTTGGAAACGAAAGAATTGGACGGTGATAATGATAAAGCAGCAGCAGCCCCAACTCCTTGGACGATGGCAGCCATTGGATTTGCAGTGACCAAAGTTCAAAAAATGAAAATAACAAAATGAAGTTTAGTTTCAAAGAAATGGAAAAATATTAGAGAGGAAGAGTGGAATTTATACGATAAATGGAAAAGATAATCGGCGGAGAATTTCAGGGACCTTTTTATTTAGGGTACACGGGAATAACCAAAATATAGTCAAAAAATTTTTTTATTATTTACGTTTTAATTTGATTAATCAGACTATTTAATTATTTAAATATTTCAATTAATCTACCTATAATTAATATTTAACGGTATAGATAATATGACATTTAAATCATTTTGATATAATTATATAATTAATTCATGTTATTTATATATTTTTTCAATTAGATCATAATTTTAATAAATTAAAATAAATTTAATAATCGAATTAAGTGGTTTCATGTGTCATTAGTGACAAATATCGGCAAAACTTTCGAGATAATGTTCTGGAAAAAATTAATTCACTAGATAAAGCACTCCCAATATTAATTGCTCAAATAAGGTGAAATCCACAGTTGGCCGTAAGTCGCCATGTCTTCCTGGCGAGCTACAAGAGATTGCATGTGCCATGCACGTCCCAACACGCTGGGCATCCGAGGCCATCCGACAGAGGTCATCCGACTGAGGCCATCCGACCGAGGCCATCCGAACGAGCTATGCGAGGGCAACCAAGCGAGCTATGCGAGGGAATCCGAGGGCAACCGAGCGAGGGTAGGTCGCCATGCACTCCGGGCGACCTACCCTCGCTCGGTTGCCCTCGGATTCCCTCGCATAGCTCGCTCGGTTGCCCTCGCATAGCTCGTTCGGATGGCCTCGGTCGGATGGCTTCGGATGCCCAACGTGTTAGGACGTGCATGGAACATGCAATCTCTTGTAGGTCGCTAGGAAGACATGGCGACCTAGTAGGTCACCCGGAAGGCATGACGACCTACGGCCAACACTGTGGATTTCACCCTATTTGAGCAATTAATTTTGGGAGTGCATTAGCTCGTGAATTAATTTCTTTCAGAATATTATCTCGAAAGTTTTGCCGACAAATACCATGACACGTATCATCATTTGGTTAAAAAACTAAATTTATTTTAACTTATTTTCCTTTAATCATAAGGTAACACGTGTCACCCTCTCGTTGAAATAAAATAAATCAACAAAGAAAATTGACAAAAAGAGGATTCAAATCTAAAATAAGGTTATCATTCGAGACAATTTAAACAATAAATAATATATATCTTATATCTTAATATATAAACACTTTACTTAAATTCATAATATTTTATATTCTTAACTTTTAAAAATATAGTTATTTTTTTCTTAACTTAAAAATTTATTTTATTCTAATTTTAATATAAACAATATATTATTATTATCTTCACTTAAACATATATTTTATTCTTATTTTAAATTAAAAATATATTTTATTTTTGTCTTAACTTATAAATCTATTTTATTCTTATTTTAATATAAAAATATATTATTTTTATTTTCATTTAATAATATATTTTATTCTTATTTTAAATTAAAATATATTTTATTATTATCTTAAATTTTAAAAATATATTTTTAAAAATATATTAATTTCAAAATATATTTTAACTTAACAATAAAATATATTTTAAGTTAAGATACTTTAAAAATATTTTTTAAAGGTTAAGATAAAAATAAAATATATTTTTAAGTTAAACTAATAATAAAATATACTTTTAAGTGAATATAAGATTAAAACATATATTTTTATATTAAAATTATAACAAACTAAATTTATAAGTTAAGACAAAAATAAAATATATTTTTAAAAGTTAAGAATATAAAATATTATGAATTTAAGGAAAGTGTTTATATATTAAGATACAACATATATATACTATTTGTTGTCTAAACTATATCAAATGATAACCTTTTAACAGTGGTTTGTTGCATGCTCCATTACCCAGAAGGTTCCATGTTTGAATCCCTTTTGCCCCTTTTCTTTGTTGATTTGTTTTTCACCCTCTAATTGGAGGAAAATGAATCTATTAATTACAAATAAATTAAAATAAATTTAGTCATCTAATTGAATGATGATATGTGTCATGACATTTGTCACTAATGACACATGACACCACCTGATTCGAGGGTTAAATTTATTTTAATTTATTAAAATTAGGTCTAAATTGAAAGAATATAAAAGTAACATGGATCAATTGTGTAATATACCAAAATGATTTAATTGCCACATCACCTACACCGTTAAATGTTAACAACAAGTGACTTGATTTAAGCATTTAAATAGTTGGATGGTCTGATTGATCAAATTGAAACGTGAGTGATCAAATAATTTTTTACCATAGTTTTGTCGTCCCCATGTAGTTTACCCTTTTATTAACGCCTTTTTATTTATTTTTTAGGATAAAGTACACAAATTATCCCTCAATTATAGGGTGATGCATTGTTGAGTCTCTTAACAATTAAAAGTTGAAAAATGATCACCTAACTATTCATATATTACAAACTCGTCATTTTTCGCTAAAAATTGATGATTGAATTAATTATTTTTTTCGGTTCTATTAATCTATTTCAAAAATAATTCTAATTCAGTTAACGATTAAAGGAAAAAGGGTTGGTTAGTTCAATTTTGAGTAATTCAGTTTGGTCGGTGATCGAATTAATTGTTGGATCACCCCTAACAAGCGTTGACCGAAAATAGCCACATACGTTGGGAAAATTTTTAGGGGGGAAGACGTGGGATGATGTTGAGTATTTTACCTTTAAGGTGCATTTCGACTTATTATTTTCTGATAAGACATGTTTCACGCTCACTATAGGACCAAATGAATTATGGTTGTTATTGATTGTTCATCCATTTTGGTTTGGACGGAGAACCACAACAAGTGGTAGATCGATCATTGGTTGGTGTCCAAGTGCTATATCTCCATGTGGAGGTAGCGTAAAGGGTAATAAAGGTGAAACGATTTCATCGAGGTTGTATCTCATCTCT